GAAGTTAAGTGCTTCAATGGGAATCTTTTCAGGCTAAATCCCAGAAGTTCAAGAATGGTAACAGTGCTTTGCTTTGAAATTCTCCAAGAGTGGTTCCTGATCAGGGGCTCACTTAGTCCCAGGTACATGTATGAACAACTTACAAAATCCCAGACAGGAATTATTCTAATGCTGATATGCAGATAGAGCCATGCCATATTACTGTACCAGTGAGCCAGCTGCTTATGTTACAGCAATGAGTTCAAACCACGCTCCAGGTATCATAACATTTCTCTGTTTCCGACTGAGCTGAGCATTGCATCCCACACCCATCAGCGCACAGAAGTCATCCACAGACCATAGTGAGAGTGAGATGCACCCAGCTGCACCACTAGCAAGAAAGCAAAGCAGAGTGCTGCAAAATGTAAAGCATTCCTTGTAGAGCAATGAGATTCTTTCACTGTGTTGTAAGCAGACTTCACATAAACTCTGCCAGCAAGTGGCTTGCTTCCATAGGTCTTGAAGTCAGCAGCTACCTTCAGTTGCAGAAAACATTTTCTCTAGGTACTTCTTCACTTTTGTTCCTCATGGCTCACAAAGTAGAGCACAGTCTCCCAAGGAGCAGGAAAAAACACACCTTTCATTGCCAAACAGACTCTTGGCCCTGACCTCTATGTCAAAGGAGCAGGAAAGGACAGTGATGCCAAGGTTGGCTCTGAATGGTTACTATGGCTTGAAATGTCCTTAAAAGTTACAAACCATCCAGTTTCAGTGTATCAGAAACACTTAATCCAACCTGTGGTATATCAGAGCAATAGCATATCCCCAGTTGGGTATTAAAGGGGTTGTAATTTGATTTTCTGGCTCCTGTGACTAAATTGCTGCAGCTTTGCTCTTGTGGTCCAGAAATCCTAGGGAGCCTTTAATGAAATTACAGCTTGTTATAACTTGAAGGGTGCACTTTACTCTCTAGATAATGGTGTAATGCAATAATATGATGAAAAATAATGTACTTTCATTTGCAAAGTGCTCTGTCTCTTGTAAGTGCTCCAATCCAGCCGAGGAAGTTAATAAAAGTAATTAATGCAAATAGTAATAAAAATGTAGCCTTTTCCATGTGGCATTTCCAAGCAAGTCAGCCTCATATCATTGCTCTTGAGCTAGATAAATATGATCAACCCCCTCTGCAGATGGAGATGCTGTATTAAAACAGATGATGTTGAGCTGAAGGAAAGTTTGAGCCTTTCACAAACACTGATGCCTGTGGCTTATGGATGTGCAAAGTATCATCCACTTGCCATTCACTAAAAAAGCAGAGAGGATATCAAATAACCAGCTAAGTACTTAAGAAAACTTGTGGAATTTTTCAAGAAAGTTTTTCTGCGTCCTTTCCATTAGAGGATGATGATAGAGCAATGAGTTACTGGGCTACTTTCTCTGCTGGTGTGTTTCTCTGGCTTCAATAGAATTATAACAATAAACCAATGGACTGTTAGGCTCAAATCACTATTGGCCCCACAGAATAAGGAGGACAGTTCATTTCTGCATTATCACATTCTTTTCCAGATCAGTAGGAATGAGGGAGGGGAGGAGACAAAGGAAACCTTCTCTTAATGTGTGCATGCTTACCCTCCATTCTTAATGCTGGTGAAGCGCTGCTCAATTTTGTCAGGCCAGTAGCTTTACAAACAGTTTCCTGAATGGCTCACCTCATTCTCTAGATAATGGTGTAATGTAACAATATGGTGAAAAGTAATGCACTTTGATTTTCAAAGTGCTCTGCCTCCTGTGAGCAATCAGGACCTACATCAAAGCTCCTACACTGAAAGTAAAATCACTAATATCAATGATTAAAAATACAGATCCACTCTCTGTCTGATGCTCAGCAAGCAAACATTGTAGCTATTGCGAATGAAACCACCAGTATTAGTAAGTTCTGATGCTGGAATAGCCAAATCTTAAGCTCTACTCATCAATTTTAAAAAGTCCTTTTGTTGCCCCAAAAGGCCCTGTTTGGAGCCATCTCCAGATTCAGTAGCTAAGCAAAGTAAAGGCAAGACTCCCATAGATATTGACACCAACCAAACAGGGCCTGGGGATATGTGAGCGACCACTTCACAAGGCAAAGATGGCCTGCAAATGTCCCAAACCACTTTCCCACAAGCAGAGCTCAGGCAGTGTGTAACAGGGTTGGCACGTTTCAAGGGATGGGGAAGGAAGGAGAACAGCAAAACACATTTGGTACAAGGCAATGGCTCTGGAGTATGTAGGTAGCATTGTTTGGGGAAACAGGTGATAAAAGCCCAAGTATTGGGCTAATAACAAGGAAGGGATGCTCTGAAGGGATTAATACCCATCATAAAAAGCAATGAAAATTAGTAACGTTCCCTATCCTCTAAGACATGGAGGAAATGTACTGCTCTTGCATACTTTCAGGCAATGTTTTCCCTGTAACAGTCCTGGTACCAAAAGACCAATGGGGGTCTATGGGGTTGGACCATATTTCTTCCTGACTTCCTTTTTGGGATGAAGGCTCTGCTGGTAGCACTAAGAGAAAGACTGCTCCATCCTTCCAACACTACGTAGGAGAGGGCAAGAGTGGTTTTTCCTGTTAATCTTTGTCTGGTTTAAAGACTCGTCACCTCATTTTTCAGTCTTCTGGAGCAATGGCAGGTATGCAGACTGGCATGTCAGGGAGGCAATGCTGGCACCTTGGCAGGTTTGTCTTCCCAGACTTCTCCTTGGTGAATTCCTTGTACCTGCAAGCAAGTGGCAGAAGATAAAGGAGCCTGCTCAAATGGGAATCCCCAGCCTAGCTGCTATCTGCTCTGTTCAGCTTGAAAAAAAGCAACTGAGCATAATTAATGTTTGTGCTGTACTTTTTCCCTTGGTATCCAATCACAATCTCTGCACATAGTGTGGAAGCTGCTAAATGTAACAGGACTTTCTCAGCTAATGACTGAGACCATGAACAATGTACACAGGTTACCATCTTCTGTCCTGCAGTCACCTCCACTCTTTATTGCCATGGCTACCCACACGGCAAGGACAGCTGACCTGCAAATAATACAGTTACTGCATTGCCATCATTTTCAGCACAGTGCAATGTAACAAGTCTGATAAATCCAAATTTGCCAGCACCACATTTTCCAGTTCAGGTTGATCTGCCTCAAACTGAGATAGGGCTGGTACATTAATTCACACTAAGACCATGAAACAAAGATCTTACCTGCTACTTCTACACATTAATGAAATGATGGCATTGCTGTAAGATTAGAAGTTAGGCTCGAGCAGCTAGGCTAAAATTTGTGCTTCATGCTGTTTTACAGAATACCATGAGCCCTTTCTCTGACTGCTGCTTCAGCCCCAGTGAGAGCTGTGCTCCTGAACAACCTGTAGTGACTCTTGCATGAATCTGGTTAAACAGCTTGGGTGTGACTCTTTAAGTGTGAAAGGCTCTGTTCAACATATACTGCAAGAAAGCAAGCTACTCTGCATCTACATCAGGTTTTTTTCACAGCAGGGTGTTGGCTACAGTATCCTCCTTCTTACCTCCTGAAAGAAGGAGGTAATATTGTGGGATTAACATGCAACACTGATTAGATGGCAGCTCAACTAGAATTAGGCAAATCAGTGCCTGGCCAAGATAAAATAGGGACAAAACGAAAGAGCTTTTGAGAACCTGTGACCACTGGGTGCAGGATTTGGAAAGGCACTCTTAGGATGAAAGATAAAACAGGAGATTTTGGTAGGGCCTAAAATTTGTCTCCCTTTTTCTTTTCAGTGGCTGGGTCTAGCTCCCAATCTCTGTTTCACCAGCACAACAGCTCCTGTGCTACTCCCACCATTCCCCCTCCCCTGGTATCCTGTCCCAGTCCATAGCAGGGGAACCAGAAGGGAAATGTGCTAATTCCAAACTGATGGTGTTCTGTGGCGTTTGCCGGAGAAGACAAAATGCAGTATCTCTGGGACAGACTCTCCTTTTATTATTTGCTTTGGCTTACAAATAAGACATTATTTTCTTGCTTTGCAAACTGTTTACATTTGTTCAAGCATTTCACAGTAGCAAAGGCAAGGAAGGACACTGCCAAGTGACTTTCTGCTACTGAGAGCCTGATTCAGGTTGTGCTGAACTCCCTCAGCTCCTTGTCATTTCAGCACTTTGCTGGGGTTCTTCAGCCCTTCAGTGCTCAGCTCAGGAATCAATACCACAGCAGCTTTCATGGAAAGTCATTCCCCCTCCCACTCAGAGCCTGACCCAGGCCAAAATGTGTATAGCACAGGCTGGCAACAGCCAAGACTCTCAGCTGAACAGGGCAAAGGCATTTGTAGTCTGAATGAACCTCCTTTTTTTAGGTCTGGTTCTGTAGGTGCCAAGTTTTAGTGCTTCTTATTGAAGCAGAAAGGTCTCAGCACTCATCAGTATCAGACCCTTTCTGTACCTAAAATTGTAAAAAGTGTGTTTCACAGAATCACAGAATGGCTGAGGTTGGAAGGGACCTCTGGAGGTCATCTGGTCCAACCCCCCTGCTCAGGCAGGGACACCTGGAGCCAGCTGCCCAGGACCGAGTCCAGGCGGCTTTTGAATATCGCCAAGGATGGAGACACTACAACCTCCCTGGGCAACCTGTGCCAGTGCTCAGTCACCCGCAGAGTGAAAAAGTGTTTCCTGATGTTTGAGAGAACCTCCTGTGTTTCAGTTTGTGCCCGCTGCCTCTGGTCCAGTCACTGGGCACCACTGGGAAGAGCCTGGCTCCATCTTCTTTGTACCCTCCCTTCAGGTAGTTATACACATTGATGAGATCCCCCCGAGCCTTCTCTTCTCCAGGCTGAACAGTCCCATCTCTCTCAGCCTCATCCTTAGCTGTGAGGTACTCCAGTCCCTTCATCATCTTCGTGGCCCTTTGTTGGACTCTCTCCAGTATGTCTATGTCTCTCTTGCACTGGGGAGCCCAGCACTGGACACAGCACTCCAGGTGTGGCCTCACCAGTGCCAAGTAGAGGGGAAGGCTGCCCTCCCTCGACCTGCTGGCAACGCTTTGCCTAATGCAGCCCAGGATACCATTAGCCTTCATTGCGGCAAGGGGATGTTGCTGGCTCATGTTCAACTTGGTGTCCACCAGGACCCCCAGGTCCTTCTCTGCCAAGCTGCTTTCCAGCTGGGTCTGGGCCCCAGAGCTGTTCTGAACTACACCTTGCTGTGTATGCCTGTACATTTCCTTATTTCGTGAATGGATTGCCACTGATTCCCAGGGGTCTTCAGAGAACTAGAATGAAACCCTGGACAGTTTTTTCCCCTTGGTAAGGCATAGCTGCTGCAAGAAGAGTGTGAGCATAACAAACCGACCATGTGAAATCTACTTTTTTTACCCAGCAGTGCCACCTCCTGCTCTTGTCATCCCACTGCAACTGGGCTGACAAAGGGGCCTACCTCATCAGCTCATGCCCAGTCCAGCATTGCTCCAAGTCTGTGGCCGTCCTGGGGTCCTGTGCACAGCAGTACCCACTGGCTCTTCCCTCCCAGAGCTCCTCTGCACACACGGGGGTGAGGGGGCGAGGGCTGGCCGAGTGCCGAGGGCGGCATGGGGCACAGCTCCCCACTACCTCGCTGGGCCCTGCAGTCCAGCAGCTCCTCTTGCCCTCCTGCCCCTGCCGCCCAGTGGTTTCACCCTGCAGGAGCTGACAGGCTGGACCACACCACGATGCAGTAGCTACTGGCTGAAGAGCTCACGGTAGCAGTGCTGCAGAGCTGTCACCAGCAAGTGTGTGGTCCTCAGGTGTCATGATACACATGAGAAAGCCAAGCCTTGGAGCAACATACAAAGGCTGTGATGTTGGCCTGACTTGCACACTGCTGGTGTTCAGGCAGAATAAATTCTATGTGTGCTCCCAAAATATATAACACACCTGAGGGCCCTTTTGATATTTCAGACCCAGCAATTCACATTCACAATGAGCTGGTAACACCTGTACAGCCAGCGGATGCGTACTTCCACTACGTAAGTCCAGGATGTGTCCAGTAATCAAACCCAGAGTGCAGACGTACGCATGTGTATGCTGCATACTACATAGCCTGAAAACAGGGCAGGGTGCGCACACGGAGGTTATCATTACCGCCCGTTTCACCAGGTCACCGAACCCGCTCAGGAAACAGCCCAAGTTTTTGCGCACAGGCGTTTCAGGCCCCGGCTGAGGAGGGCAAGCCCGCCCGTCCCGCCCCAGCGGCTCCGCCCC